AAATACTGGAAGAAAATCATCGTGAACATTTGCCCCTCTCGAAGGTACCAATAAGACACTGTTTGGAGCCAATTGGTTTCAGAGGATCTTATGGGTTGGATAGAGAGCATCTCGGTTGTGTGCCAGAAGCTCAGGGCAAGCATTCGCTTGTGCAGATAATGGGGTCTCCGTGTTTGTAGTGTTAACATTGCGGGACTAATTGCATGGACCTAATTTAGGTAAAAAAAACCCACACATAATGCAAGCGCAGATCAGGGTAGAAAGACAAAATAAGTTTCGTGGTGTTCTAGTTTAAACAAAGCGGTCGACCGCAGCTTGTGTTGCACCAAGGTCCCATCATTAGAATTGATTTTCCCCTGCATATTTAATGCAAAGAAATGCAATCCTGCATTTTGCAATTATTCGTGATAAAATGTCTATCTCTGTGAAAGAGAAGCAGTATCCGTGTGAAGCCCTTTACTCTGGGCCAGTGCAGCTGGCTTATACGGAACACATTGCTTTCATCTATCACTCCGTAACAAGGTTAACTTATCGGAAGGCTTAAAAACAAAACATTCATTACAGGATGTTTACAACACGTCATTGTTTTGCATCTCGCATTTGGTGGGGGGGTGTGGGGGGTTGTGGTACCGTGGCCGAGCTGTAGCGCATTTGCCGCACGTTGCAGAGGTTTGCGGTTCAAACCCCACGCGGCTGCTCTGGTTAACGCTGTGCGTGCATTAACTCCCGCAGCACTGACGGGTGAACAAATCCCGTGACATGGTGAAGATCGCGTGACGTCATTCGACGAAGGGAAAAAAAGAGTACATTTGTGAGCCACAGTCGTGGTCCGAAAAATATCTTCAATTTAAAAAAGAATTGTCCACAAATTATTTCATTGGGATAACAAAAAAAACATCGCCCCCTTCGGTGCATCTTAATGCAGACTACATAGAAACTTGCCGCTATTAAAACGGCACAAATTCCAAATGTGCTTATGATTTGATTTGATTCACAACGACATGACACAAACAAATAATATTCAATCGGGTCCATATGTGATTTTGTGCAATAAAAAAATGCTCCGTTTAGCTTCACCGTAAAAAGCCCTCTATTTTAGATTATATAGAGATGTTTAATATTGAAAGCCACAATGGAATGTCATTACTTTTAAGAGCCAATCAGTTTCTGCTCTTTCAGTCTGTAAACACAAAAGCAATTTTTCAAATATTCAGGGTTGTAATATTGAAATAGTAAACTCTAACTTGGTTGATGGTGGTTTATTACTTCTGCGCCAACAAAAATAACAATGAAATGTCATTTTTAAAATCCATTTGCTATTTTGTTAACATTTTTAGTCAATATATATTAGATTTATTCCTTGCACAGTACAGTACGAGTACGGAGCTACTTTGCGATTAACTGCCGCTGCATCTCGAGGAGCTGGACAAACATTCATACAGCAGTCGATCCACTGCTGAATGAAGGCTATCCCGATGCTATGTCAGTCATAAGCGTTGCATGACCATACTTTAACATGCTGGTCAGAGTGTGGGTTGGTAAGGTGGGATGAGGGTGAAAATCCAGGACCAGTTTTAAGACATCACTCGTCACCGAAGTTAGCGTTGACCGGAAATGAAATTCAGCTCATCGGTTTTACAGCGCAGTGTGCTAACCAACGCACCACCACTCCACCTCATTGCTATATATTCACTCGTAGTATAACAAGAGTTGTTGTCATCAATTTGTTCGGGGGACCTTTAACGAGGTGGGCAGAGCGACAATAAACATCATCATCATCATCATCAATTATTTATCCCGCACCCCCAATGCAATACAATCCATGCACCAGTCCCAGAACCACGGGAAGCACGAAGCTAAATTAGCGCGGGGCAAATGCCCCACGTGTTTCCGCAGGAGGGGAATCCTTGTGGAGAAAATCTCTCTCGTCGTGCGGTAAGCAAAAACAAAAAAGAACAAACTCCGTAATTCCACCCCATCTCCCTGATCATCGCCGGGGACGACCGCTCCGAACATCGCATTGTTGGAAGTGGCGGAGAAAATATTCCCGCACGCGCCGCCCTCCCATCTAACAAAAATCGCGTGTGCAGGGTCGGGGGGGGGGGCGGGGGGGGGGGGGTGGTGTGCCCCGGTGCCACGCACTTCAATCTGCTCGTGAGCGCCCCACGACTTTCAAAAAGCCCTCGCCCCCCCCCCCCCGCCCGGGCCACCGCTGCGACGAAATTTCCAGCCCCTTCTTGGTTGCTCCCCCCCGCCCTCCGCCTCCCGTATCAAGACGGAATGCCCAGCCTGCGCGGAGCGGAGACAGGCGAACGACCAATCTTGCTTGGCGTTGGCCAGCTGACACCCCCCCCCCCCCCCCCTGCATTAGCGAGATGAGTGCTTTTTAGCCTCACGAGCCGATTTCCCAATGAATGTTTGTTGACCCTTGTGTGTTGATGCGCATTAAACGTGGGGAGGGGGGGGGGGGACGACATGTCCTTGCTGTGCACTGCTGCGGAGGGTTGGGGCAACTAACAATCTCCCTCGCTGTTCAAGGGACGGTGTGGGTCGGGAGAATTTTGTTTCTCGGTTGCGGACGACGGAAACAGGGTGGGTGCCACTCACAGGGTGTCGTCAATAATTTCCTGAACGAGACACTGCAGTCAGAGGTCAACAAAAGCGATTTCAATCGATGACCCCCCCGACAATGTAGAAACATGAACAATCTCCATCTCTCCCAAGTTCCATCGTAGGCTATCCCTATAAGAACGCGTTATCTAATGTTGATGGCTGTGACTCTAATTGCTGTAAATTCGAATTAGCCACAAGAAGAGGGATATAAGCTATGTTTTGCAATATATTTTTCTGGTTCTATTACTACATCTGGGAAGCTTCAAAAAGGTTGAGCACGTGAATTTGGGTCTCCAAAAATTACGGTGAAGAGGTTGATTGGTTTCGCCCAGAGTTCAGTAAGCCGAAGCCGCGACAAGGCTTGTACATCTTGTGCTAAACGCCTGCAAATATACAAACACCATCATTGGTTACAACGAGCGAACCGAGTAATCTGCCTGCTGTGGAGGATGATGCTGTACATGGAAGAAAAACTTGGAATTGAATTATTTTAGAAGAAGAAAAAAACGAATCTCAATAACCATTACCACGGCAAGAGCAGTGATGGAAAAATGAAAATGTTTGCTTTAAGTTTGTCATAACGCATAACCAAAAGCTCTGGCGTTCTGCACTGACCAGCTACGATTTAATCAGCCATCACTGCGGGAACGCGACCATGATCCCCATTGACGTTAAAGTGCGACTTAGAGATAAACTTATGAAACAGCTGTTGGGACACAGTCACCCGAAGAGTGCCTGCGATAAGAAAGATGCAGAAATAAGAACGATGGAATCCCCGTTTGTAGGCCCTCACAGCTCTTGTGCCGTAGAAGCCACTGTTGTTTGGCAATGATATTTTATTCACGGTTTAACTTGATCGATCCACTGCTGGATGAAAAGCCCCTCGTGACGTCGGTTCACGAGCACTCTTTGACCGCGCTTCGTCACGACAACCAGTGCCTGCAAACGCGATAGGTGGACGCCTAGGACAAAGCCACGCCTCCGATTAGCGCGGTTGTCTACGTACGGTGCGAAAGAAGTTCAACATGCATGCATGCAAAGCAATGTGTGCTATGCTGGTAAGTTTACTCCGGTGGTTGAAAGTAAATGGCTTTTATTTATAGCTGCACAACGTCGCAACTCAATTATCTCTTTTGTTTTTGGTCATCAATAATGCAAAGCCCTAAGTCAATTCACTGCAGTAACAAAAAAATTGCCTTCGCAAGACACGTCAGTCATGAGGATTGTGAGACCACACTTCACCACGCTGGTCAGTGTGGGTTAGTGAAAGAGGTGGGTTGGGGGGATGGTGGTGTTGGGGCAGTCAGTACGTGGCCAGGAATTGAGCCAAGAAAAACGGGCTTGGGGGCCCAAATGCACCTCACCACTGCGCCCTGGTTTGAGAAAATCAATTGTCGCAAGTTGTTAGATGTTTTTGTTTACTATAAATAATTGTACGCTCGGTCCACACAGCTCAAACGTATAAGGCACACACGCAACGTGAGCACTACATCCACTAAGCAATTCCAAATACGGACAATGGGGCAATATGGAGCACATTTTAAGTTGCCGTCAATTCGCACGCTCAAAATTGGGGTTCCTGCCATCGTTACCTGCGGGCAAGCGAGCGATGAGGCGAGCGAGAGAGCAAGTGAGCCCGACTCCTCTACCCCTGTGATATAGACCAACGCTTTGTGTACAATCAGGACGCCCCTCATTGCCTACTCAATTCCCCCCCCCCCCCGCCTCCACCCACGGCCCAATGCCCAACACATGATTGTTGTTTGCCTTCGTTATTTCACTTCCAGCTTTTTTTTGTAAATGACGCTGAAATGAAGGAGACTATCCCATCGTCGCCACATGACTGCCAGTAGTACCCGGTGTGAGCCGTGGCCCTGACATTACCAACGATCGATTCGTGTCAAGCATTCTATCGTTCCGCATCAAACTAGGACCCGTTCCTTACATAAAATAGGGCAGTTCACCTGCGTTGTTTCAGGCAGATCTGACTGATGAGACACTCAATGTCAAAGCGGGCCCAGAGTTCCCTGGCAATTGAACTAAGGCTGCAAAACAAGATGCACTCACAGAAGTCAGTGTCGCCGATTGGTTGTATCCAAACGCGCATTTATTTTACGTGGAGACACAAATATGGGAAGAGCGAGGCATTATTTATTTCATGATTGGCTTTATCATCATGCTACAGTCTTGTATTTGAACCATCATACAGCAGTATATATGAGGGGGGGGGGGGGTGGTGGGGGACGCTGGGCCCCCTAAAACCTCCCGCGATAATCTGGCCCTGGGTTCGATGGCGAGAGGTGAAACGAGAGACCGCGGCCACCGTGGCCGCATCGCGACCGGTACGGCACTCTCGCGAACGCGCGATTTAAATTCCTCGTGCGCACCTGACGGAGACATCGTCTGGGAGCCGGTGAGGTGGGTCGCAGCAGCGCAGCTCGCCGGTGTCGGGGTCTCGGAGGTAAACAAATACTTTTTCCTGTGCGAGATTGGGTTGGGGGGCGGGGGAGGGGGGCGAACGGAGGGGGAGAGATCGTAGAGAGAGAGAGAGCACAGATTTTTTTTTTTAAATATGAGCAGGCTCAGGGAGGAAGAGATTGGCAGTGAGAGGGCGCGAGAGAGATCGCGCGACGGAGATAGTGGGTGAGAATTGAGTGTGGGGAAAGGGAGGGAACGTGGGAGAGCGAAGAGGCAGGAAGGGAGAGGGGGAGGGAGAGTGAAAGTTGCAGAATAAGAGAAAAATTATATCAACGCAACGACAAAATATTCTCCACATTAGGTAGACGGCAAGCCCTGCTGAAACCTGCAGTGGATTGGAAGATTGTGGGGAAATTTCAATTTGGACAAGAAAAATGCCGAAAAGCACGCATGAATAATGTACAAGGATATACGAAATCTGGCCAGTTGAAATGCACCTGCGAAAAAAGAAATCTCCAACAAACGGGGAAACGGCACGAGTGGTTGGATTGAGCTCCGAATGAGGACGTTGATGGGGGTTAGCAGGGATGAACTGTGCAGGGGACGACAATCCACGTCCACTCGTAGATAACGCTGCCTGGATATGGAATTACATTTTTCTTTAACTCATGAAATCCAGGGCTTTTGTTGCAGTCTATTAGTATGCAGCAGAGCTGCAAACGGGACCACGTTTAGCCCTCGGCAAGCGGACGTTCTGCAATGCACGTCTGCTGCTGAGAGTGTGGAAATGGGGGGTCAACGATTAACCTTTTCATGGAGTCACAAGTCCCCCCCCAATTATCTAGAAATGTATGTAGGAAAGCTGCAATGAGTCTCAAGATGTATTTTCCGGAAGGTCCAGCTGCAGCAAGATGTTTGGCCAATTCCATCACGAGAAGTTTTTTTTGGCTCAACGTGGGAGGAAGCCGGAGAAGTTGAAGACTAACCCACGCTGCCATCTTCTGGCCACCTTGCAGCCCATACATAGAGTGCATGGCATACCCAGGCAGTCTCCAATCCGAGTATTAACCAGGCTCACGCCTGATTGTGCTTCAAAGATCCAACGAGTTCAGCCACATTCAGAGCGATTTCGGTCTCAATTGCCGCAAGTGGCTTTTAGCGAGCCGCTTTCGGTCTCTTGGTGGAGTAGCTATTGAGTATGCAGGCGGTGTAATTGCACCAGGGCTCACGGGCTGGAGGGACGAAGTATGAGTTTGGGGAGGGGGGGGGAGGCAGGAATTGGACAGGGGACCCCCATATCGTTCCCCGCAACCAGAAGCCCTTGCCACCCCACGCTGCGCCGTGGACCGAAATTGCTTGCGGCTTACCGGCTCGTGGTGTTTTTCCCCTCTCCCATTTCATCACAACGCGTGGAAGGTGCCAATGCGTGCGAGCGCGTTTGCTGCGCGGTTGGTGGACGGAGGTCGTGCCATCGGCTGTGCCTGCCATGTGTCTCACACTCCCCGGTGAGTTGTGACCGCAACAGGTCTTCACAGCAGCGTGCAGACGCCCCTCGATTTTTGTACAATGATATTCATTTATGACAGCACTCCCTTCTCTCTCTCTCGGGGGTGTGATGTCATCCTCCAAATTCGCCCATTAAATTCAGGCCACACCAGAACGAGCCACAAGGTTGTTTGGGAGGCGGGGGGGGGACGCAGAGCCAGTGCTAGGCTTGTCCACGTTACTATGGCCGAGGATGAGAGCTGGACTGCTCTAGAAACTTAACATATGTGAGGCTAATTTAAAGACTGGTCGACTAACACTTCCATTAATTTCTTTCTGCGGTGACTGATTGTCAATTTTCAGATAAGTGGTGGTGGTGGGGTTCAGTCCACAATTAAGTTTTCTCTTTTTATACTACACGGCTGTACCGAAAATCTACGGTATTTTTTTTATATTTGTGGCCGTGAATGCTTTAAATTGTAGCTCTAGTTGATAACCACTGCACTACCGCTCCCCATGTTATATATGACATGTAAAGACGCATGCAAGCACATGCTTACGAATTCCGTATAGATATAAATGGTATAAACCTTGTGTGTTGTACATCTTTACAGCCGTTTAGCATTCTCACTTTGAAGTCGGAATCATCGTCGTGTATCAGAGGAGACGCGTCGATTAAAGTCCGTGCGACGTGCGGTAATTATTGGCATTTGCGTTTGCAGCGAAGGTCACGTGATGACACGTAAAAAAGAAACGTACGGTGGAAGGAGGAGGGTTCACCGGGTTTCGTCGACGCTGTGACTTCAACTTTTATTTTCACTCGTTTTCCGTCGCTCTGCGCTCGAGATTCATTCTATCGCCATGACTATTTGCTCGCCCTCTCTCGCTGACAATGATTACGGTCACACACCCCCGAAGCTAGCAGTGCATCACCCCCCCCCTCCCCCGTCATAGAACGACCCTGTAAAAATTGACATCGCGAAACTGCTTCCGAATTCGCTGCAAATGGCCACCTTTGATGACGGAAAAAAAGCACGCCTGTTATATGCTCCTGCAAAGAGTGTTTGTCACGTTAATTTAAAACAAGTTTATTTAGACGTGCCAATAGAACCCAACATGTGGATCTCAGCGCTGGAATTTGGTCAAATTAAGTAAAAATGTAACTAAATGAACATTTTTGATTTGAGGCTTTCGTGACTGCAGGAATCCATCCTCTTTGGTTATTTCGGTAAAGTCACGTAGGTAGAAAAATAATAGATCACAACGTTTCCCCCGCCCCCCCCTCGTTCTCTCTCATCCCCCGCAGCCAATCTCTCCAGTGCTGCCGCGGTGGTCCACTTTACTCCAGTGACTCGGATGCTGCTGCGGGGTCCACTTTCTGCCCCGCCTCCTCACCCCCCCTTCTCTCTCCCCCTCTACTGCCGAGGCCTACTATATAACCTTGTGCCACTGCAGATCTCTCGCCTACTTCAGCAGTTTTTTTTTCTTGCGGTGGTTGTCCCACCTGATGACGATTGCTGGTGTTGCGATCGAAACGTCGTGATCTATTATTTTTCTATCGACGTGACTTTACCGAACGAACCAAAGACTATAAATTAACATTGCATGTTTTTTTTGTGTGTGTGTGCAGCCATTGGTGACCGAACAGAGACCATCAGCGCAATCCAATTGAGAACCTGGTTTAAGCCATATGTAGTGGCCGAAACCCAGCTTGAATCAAACCCAGAATTTCAGCAGAGCTGGCTCGGTACACTGACTTCAGAGCAGCCCAGCCACCTCACGGAGACTTCAAAGAACTTAATGAGCCGAGTCAATCCTCGGTTAAACCAATTATTAAACACAAAGGATGTTCCATTGTGCTGTGGTGGGGAATAGTGTTCGGTATCCAACAGAAATGATAAATAAATAAAAAAACTCAGCAAAGGTGATAAATAACTCAAGATTATGAGGCTTTTCACGTTGCAAATATTTGATTTGCGCCAACCAATTCCTATCACAAAGACTACTCGGATTCTAATATAGATAAAAGGGTGCATTGTGGGTGCGGGTGCATTCGCGTCCATTGTTCCATCCGTGAGATGTCTTTGGTTGCCGCCTCCAGTCTGTCGTGATGGAGTGAGTTTTGATCTTTGCGATTCACGCGCGCGAATATGCGCAGCACGCACGGTGACACGCCGAGATCAGTCGCCGTGGCATTGAAGTGGCCCGAACGACGTTCGCCGTCGTGTTTTTGAACTCCCGCGTGTGCGTGTGTGTGTGCGTGCGTGTTCGTGCGTGCGTGCGTGTGCGTGCGTGCGTGGCCATGAAAAACACGCAACACTGTTTAATATTAAGCGTGACAAAAGATTGACCAAATCGCCCCCCCCCCCCAGGCATACAATACAATACTATAGAGGCTGAGGGGTCAGGGAGACGGAGAGGCAGCGATATCGAGGAACAAGGAGACAACAGAGAGAGAGAGGCAGTGGAGAGAGTGGGACGGGGAGACATAGAGACAGGCAGTTGGAGACAGAGAGACAGGGAGACATAGAGACAGGCAGTGGAGGCACAGAGAAAGGAAGACAAAATCACATTGTGGAAACATAAATGAAGGGATACAGAGACAGGCGGTAGACACATAGAGGCAGGCAAAGAGAAACAATCATTAGAGACAGTGAGACAGGGAGACAGAGACAGACAGGGAGACAGACACATGGAGACAGACACAGAGAGAGAGAGAGAGGCAGTGGAGTCCTGTTTGGCCAATGTTTTTTTGCGGTCTGATTTTGGTGAAAACATATCGATAACTATGTCACAAAGAAAATGATAATTGGGCAAATGACAAAGGCAACACAATACGTTTCAGCCATTTCATTTTAACGTACATCTGATTATTTCTGTAGATATCACATCACTGGGGATTAGGAGCACCTGGTGACAGATCGCTGTGAGCCATATGTTTCATATTTTATTTAAAGTCAAACGCGAGCCCATGGGGAACACAGGGCGTTCATAGAGGACTCATCGATAATCAACTATTTATAATTACGTATGCCAAAATAACTATGCAAAGACAAGACGAAGATCCCCCCTCCCCCATAGCCTTAACAGACTGTTGGAGCAAGTGCTGTTGGCGAGCACCTATGAAGGCTGACACGGCACACGAGGGGGTGGGTGGCCAGCAACACGCCCGGCTGCCTTTGTCACCTAGTGGCGATGTTTACACACGAAACCAGTTACTCGTTTGAGGCTGGGACGACCTAGGGGAGGCCCAGGATCGGTTCAGATATTCGTCACTTGTGTTTTCCATGAGCGGGAATCGAACTCAGGTCGCAAAGCCAAGGTCCAACCGTAAAGCCTTAACAGACTGTTATCTAGCACCTATGAAGGCCGGCACGGCACACGATGGGGTGGGTGGCCAACACGACAGAACTATCCAGGTGCATGCACACAGGGTGGCAAGTAGATACCATTGGGCGGGTCTCATCCCTCTTAAACTTCGCACGCCCACGTTGGTGACGCGCATCGCATTGGAGATGATTTTGGGAGATGTTCAGGAGTTCACCAGCATCTCGAAACTTCAAATGCTCCTCTTACGAGCTGTTCAAGTTCACTCACGCTTAAAACAAACACAAAAACACGTGACCACCGACGGAAGAAGTTGCCAACATTTGAACCGCACAGTTCAAATGGCTGCCCATTTATGATTCTTTAATAATGGACGATGCCTTCGTGGGCAGCAGCAGCACTTTTTGATTGGCTGCACAATTTGTCTGCAATTGTCCTGACAAACACTGCGCAGTGGGAAAAATCCCCCCTGGAAATTAGTATTTTCTTTATTTACAGTGAAGCGATTTGACCTCAATAACCCCCCTGGAATTCCAAACTCCCAAGCAAGTGAGCTTTAGGTTAATTAAATAACTCGCAGACAAAGTAACCTGCAAACATTTTTTAACCGCAAAGCACTCGGGAAATATTCCGGCAATCCGCAGCAATGTTTGCAGCGTCCGCATTCCCCCCCCCCCCGCCGGCACGACTGCGTTGGAGCATTGCGAGTGTCCGTACAGGGTGCGTATATTCGACGAAATGGCACAGAAGATGATCACAGCGGAGTGCACACACACACACACGCGCACAAGGCCAGCTGAAGTGTAGCGGTGCATTCATGTTCTCGCTTACAATGCTCTGGCACATGGACATGACATTCAATTATATCCCTTCGATCATCTCGTGTGCCAAGCTGTAAGCAACTTGAATGCAAGCCGCGATCGCAGATTCCTTGTAGCGAGGAGTGGATGCGGGACGGGGGGAGCTGAAAATGTTCGAGAATTAAATGAGGTAATCATTGTGCTTAAACTAGCTCCTTAATAGGGGTTATCCACCATGACCTTTGACATGCAGAAGGTAATTGAGAAATCCCCTGGCGGCCTCTGTGAGAGTTCAACTTCACGACCGGAATTAAACGGCTCGCTGCAGTTCATCTCTTCCGCATCGAACGCTCCGCTCCCAAATCGGACGACGAGAGATGAAGTCACGTGGACAGTTCGGGTCGTCACCGTTGTCGTCATAGGTAGAAAAACAATTCTATTTGTTTCTGGAAAATATATTTTAGTGAAATAATAGAGTCTTAAGTGGGGTGATGGAGAATCTCCCATTTACAGACCTGAGCCGGTGCTGTAAATTCATCAGTTCTGTGGCAGGGAAGAGTGCTGCTATAGGACAGCCTCCGTTGATTTGCCCACAAAGCGGTACTTGTTGTATTGACCCCCGAGGGATGATAGTCTGAGTGAAGCACCAAAACCAAGATTTGAACTCTCAACCTTGCAATTGCAAGCCGCCCGCTCTACCAAAGAGCCACCTAGTCGGATATATGAAATTAATAAATGATAGTCAATACAAGTTTAACCCTGATATGTTTCGCGTGATGAAAAAATCAATGCGTATTGGCAGGCAGACCCGGAGAGCGTACAGCTCCCGCGTTGCGGTTAAACTCTCCGCCGTGCGCGGCAGCAACGCTCGGAGGAACTTTGCCAGAATCAGAATACAGGGTGTCTTAAAAAGATGGACCAATTTCAAAGCAGTATATTTCACTATGGCAACATGTTACAATTACACAAAAAGTGACAAACGGTTTAATGAGTTATCGAGTTTTACGAACCATTTTATAAATGTCCTATGTGCCCTCCACCTGCTTTACGGACAACATCGAGACAATAGTTGAATTCGTCCTAAACGCCTCTCAAAGTGTCTTCTTCCACTGAAGTCACCGCTGCCGCGATTCTGTTTTTGAGGTCATCTAGATTAGTCGATAATGGTGGCACAAAAACACCAAGGGTCTTTGACGTATCCCCACAAGAAAACGTCGCTGGGTGTGATGTCTGTGGATCTTGGGGGCCAAGAGTGTACCGCCGAGTCTTGGGGTCGCGTGTGACCTATCCAACATTGAGGCAGCGCGTCATTCAGAAAACGTCGAACCCGCAGGTGCCAACGTGGCGGTGCTCCGTCTTGCTGAAAAATGAAGTCATCGGATGTTCAAACGGGAAGAGTTTCATTCGCGGGCGGTTCGTGGTTGCAGAGATATAACGATTTCAAATCGGGTCCGTCTGTTTGAAACACCCTGTATTTATTCACGACTGGAGGAATCCGATGAGCTGTAACGCTCCCTTTTTCAGAGATGTCCACTTCGGGCGGGTCAGAACGTTACAGCAACAGAGGAGGCTGTTAGGGGCATAGCACGCCGACATCGCGCACCGAGACGCTCGTGAAATAGGTCACGCGCCAAGTGACCGCTCGTCCATGAAGGAATGGGCCTCATTTCCCGAAAACTGTGTTAGATTTGAATGAAGGATGTTTGTACGACGTCTGATTTAATTTATCTCTGAAGGGAAGGGAGGGGGGTGGTTCTCGTGTGTGTGTGTACGGCCAACATCAGTGACGATTACCTTAACCGGTCCCGGGCCTCCCCTAGGTCGACTCAGCCTCAAATGAGTACCTGGTGCGGTGTGTAAACATTGCCACTAGGGAGACAAAGGCGGTCGGGCGTGGTGCTGGCCACCCACCCCCTCGTGTACCGTTCCGGCCTTCATAGGTGCTCGCTAACAGCACTTGCCCCTACAGTCTGTTAAGGCTATATGGGGGATCTTTGTCTTTGTTAGCGGGGAGCGGTAGTGTAGTGGTTAATGCACTGCGCTACGAACCCGGCCACCCGAGTTCGATTCCCGCTCACGGCCAACACCCAGTGACGATTATCTGGACCGGTCTGGGGCCTCCCTTAGGTCGACTCAGCCTCAAATGACTACCTGGTGCGGTGTGTAAACGTCGCCACTGGGGAGACAAAGACGGCCGGGCGTGGTACTGGCCACCCACCCCCTCGTGTGCCATGTCGGCCTTCATCGGTGTTTACTAACAGCACTTGCCCTAACAGTCTGCTCAGGCTACACGGGGAATCTTTGTTAACGACAGAGCCGCATGCGAGTGCTGTCTCTCCCTATCTCTCCGTCGCCCCTCTCACCGTGTGTGGAATCACGAGACGGACGATCTCGACAACCGCGCTCCGCAGAGAACGTTCATCCACCACCCCGCCCAGGCGCAGCAAAGCCTCCTGCAGGGAGAGAATAGCAGAATAACATGGGCACAAAGACAAAGATTTCCCGTATAGCCTTAAACAGGCTTATGTTGTTGTTTTTTTTGTACACACACAGCACCAAGTATTTATTTAAGGCTGAGTTGACCAACGGGATGGTCCATGACAGGTTCAGACAATCCATTTTGGTACCGTTGTTTGCGTGTGACCTAGATTACACGGTGGTCAGAAGATGGCAGAACAGCAGTGGATTCTCGATCCACCTGTATGGAGCTTCTGAACGTTCCCTCTCTCGCGTGTTCTTTGTGTGGGTGTTACGATTTTCTCCTATATGGCATCCCAATCTGGCAGGACCCTCCTGAAAAAATAATCTTAGGATCCAGATCGACTTTCCGAGGTCAATGAAGGGCATTATTACTATTGTAATTATCATCATTATTATCACAAAATCAAACATGGGTCACCAGAGATGATGATGATGCAGCAAGCTAACACAACTTCCCAAAATAGATAAAGATCCCCCGTGTAGCCTTAACAGACTGTTGGGGTAAGTGCTGTTAGCGAGCACCTGTGAAAGCCAGCCCAGCACACGAGGGAGTGGGTGGCCAGCACCATACCCGACCGCCTTTGTCTCCCCAGTGGCAATGATTTTACACACCACACCAGGTAGTCATTTGAGGCTGAGTCGACCTAGGGGAGGACCAGGGCCGGTTCTGATAATCGTCACTGGTGTTGGCCGTTAGCGGGAATCGAACCCGGGTCGCCAGGTTCGTAGCGCAGCGTAGCGCTAACCGCAGCACCACTGCTCCCCACAGCACACGCGCACGCAGACACACAGACACATCTTTAACAGCCCAGGAGGCTTAAATTGTTTCAGCCGATCAACATTGGATTGCTCATATTATCAGCGATAAACTGAGGCAATCTGTCAAAAGTTTAAAAGTGCCCTACATTAGTGAGGCGGAGGGAGGGGAGATCAGACGGTTCAAAGCAGATCCGTGCACAGCCTTGAGCATTCGTAAACGTCAGCATAGTTACAAAAAAAATAGGCAACTTCTCAATTTCAATGTCAACTCTACAATAATCATCATAATAATGGGTTGTCACACATCGCAGCTAATTACGTAACATGTTTAAAAGTTGCGGCTTCTTACAGGGAATACGTTAGCGGTTTGACACACAACTAAATGCGCCATCGCAATCCGAACGCGGATGAAAAAAGTAGTGTTGTCCATAAACGTCGGACCCGGAGCATTTCAAGAAGGGTGGACAAATGACAAATTGTTTCTATCTGAATTACAGTCACGATTGGTTGATGATAATTATCATCATCAAAATTAAGTTGTCGATGATGACAATCGTCGTCATTAGCCATGATCAATGCACTGCTGGATGACGGCCTTTCCCAAGCAGCCTTCATCCCGTCATCTCTCGCGGTCCTTTCAAGGCAACGCTTCAGCCGCACATGAAGCCAACTCCAACTCTCAACTCCGTCTCCTCGAAACAATTACCTCCCCCGTCCATGCCCCATAGTTCATGTGAAACAGTTAAAAAAAAAATCTGCCTCGGGGGGTGTAGCACAGCAAGTAGGAATAACCCCGCTGTGTCCTCCGGGGTATTCCTCCATCAGCGGCGCAATCTGCACCTCCAAGATAGGGGGGGGGGGGGCGGGGGGGGTGGAGGGAGGGGGGGGCTAAAATGCGAAGCGCCAAGCGGCATTGTAAATCTCGCTGCGCTTCATCAGGGACGAGAGAGTGCAATATATCAAATATTTAAACTGCCGGCCGCCGTGCGTTAAGCTTCGTGGAGAACTGCGCTCACGTTGCTGCTGCTGCTGTTGCTGCTGCTGCACCTCTCACGTGCCTCCGTACCCTTCAAACCCCACCCCTCCCCCTTCGGATTCTTCCTAATTTTAACGACAACGTTGCGATAGCGCCTCTGAAATGAGCCGTGACTCAAAAGCCCTGCGCCGCTGGAGGGGGGCGGGAAACCCCGCGCGCCCATCTCGAATCCTCCTGCAGCGGTGGGTGGCTTGGCAGTGGCGGTCTCGTCAAGAAGCGCGGTTTCATTTTCCTCCGGCGTTCTTGGCACCGCTTTCAATTGTCGAGTAATCAACTTCGTGAAAATGTGTCAACGAAAGCTCCAGGGTGGAGAGGGCGCACGCTTTGAAACCGCGATTTCTGTCACTGTTAAGCAATCTTAGTCACGTCCCTCATGCAAAAAGAGGTTGTTTTTTTGTTTTGTTAATTCTCAACGGGCTCCATCCCAATCTTGATTTGAAGCTTGCGTGACTGCAGGAATCCATACTCTTTGGTTCTTCCGGTAAAGAGGCCGTCCATAAATGACGTCACGCGATTTCGCGATTTTGGACGATTTTTGACCCCCTCCCCCCCCCCCTTCGTCACACAGCGTCACAAAGTCAGACCCCCCTCATATATGACGTCACAAAGCTCTGCCCCACCCCCCCCAAAAAAAACATGGTTCAAATCGCTTTAAACTATTGTCATTGTAGTGCGTATTTAATGTGGCGCTGCACTCTGATATTGTAGGAGAAAACATTTATTAAAAAGTCTATTTCATTAAGTAGACCGTATATTTATTTAAAGTTGTACATTTTGATGTGACGTCACATTTATCAACCCCCCCCCCCATCGTCACACATCGTCACAAATGTCTGACCCCCCCCAGGTGCGTGACGTCATTTATGGACGGCCCTACGTGGCTTTATCGGTAAAGTCACGTAGGCGACGTAGGTGGCTTTACCGACAGAACCAAAGAGTATGGCCTCCATTCCATTATTAAATGAAGCTGCAATTGATTTCATTCTACGTTAGTGAACGGATTTAAAAGTGGGCCTTGAGAGAGAGAGAGAGCGCCGCTCCTATCGCACTCCCCTCGTTGTGCCACCGAAGCGCTTTGTAGGTCTCACGCGATCCCGCAACCACACGCATCCCCTTGGTCGGCGCATCACGGTGGGGTCCGCGTCATGAATGCACCGCTGTCCTCAGCTCTTAACAACGACAAAGCCACAATCAGCATTGCACGGCTGACGTCGTAACAATTCACGTCCATTGTAACACGACACACGCACGACTTAATTTCAGCCGGGTCTTAAACGTTCGAGTCAGCGACCCAGAAAATAAATTTCTCACACCCGGCACACCGCATCCAGTATAATCTTTCACTTTGGCCGAGGCCACTTCCAGCAGCATGAATGACCGCTATGTACATATATACATCCTGATGCGGTTGTCTGCCTTGACCGCCTGAATGTGAAATTGTAGTTGATGCTCTGCCATCTACAGCAGCCGTACGAGAGAAGAGAGAGCAGAAGGGACCCGGACAATACTCGGTGTGAAATTAAGCCCTAGATACGAGCCTATAATTGTGCGCGCATGGGAATTGATTATTTACACGCTCAATATGAAGCTTTCGTGACTGCAGGAATCCATACTCTTTGGTTATTTCGGTAAAGTTACGTAGGTAGAAAAATATTTCATTTTATACCTACGTGACTTTATTTTATTTTATACCTACGTGACTTTACCGAAAGAACCAGAGTATTTACACGCTATGCAAGTTGCATGCACATTTGTAAATCGTATGGAAAATGTCATATTGCGGTTAATGGGGGGGGGAGGGGCGTGTCGAAATTGTGCCAACAGAACGAACAAGGATAACAATGAAACAAAAAAGGCGATACGAAAAATAGCTCAAAAGTACCCATTATTTAAATAACAATCCCCAATCATGACGGCAAAAATAAAAAAATAAACGAAAAGGATTATGTTCTTGGTTCTTTCGGTAAAGTCACGTAGAAGGGATATAATAAAAATAAAACATAATATAATTATTTATTTCCCTTCTACGTGACTTTACCGAAAGAACCAAGAATATTAATCCCTGCAGTCACGAAAGCTTTAAATCGAAAGAGAAGGATTATATCTAACTGCATCGCCATATTTGTGAAAATGTTTGCTTGGGATGGATGGGAGTAGGGGGGGGGGAGGTTGTTGAAATGTTAAAAGTTTAACAAAGCAGCATTATTTCTTAAAAGACCCACATTCACACACACACACATGCACACAAAGGAGCAGCGTTGCTTTCTAAATTGGTACACATCAAGGGCAAAATAAGAATCACAATGAGATTCAGATCCGCATATTTTCTTTACACTGGAGAAATCCTTGGTGGAGACCAGTATCCACATAGAGAGAAAGAAGTGGCCTGTCGTATCCCATCGTATCCCTGCGCACTACGTCGCATCCCATCCCATCCCGTGGCGTCGCCCGCCCGCCCGCCCGCCGGCTCGTGACACTGGAAGTCAGAACTTAGGCTCGACTCGGGACAGAGGTCGTTGCAACCTGTCAAAGTCTGGAGAGGCGTGGGTCACCGCTCTCCGGCGCCCGTTGCCCCGGGACTCACCGACGCTGAACGACAAAACTCGGGCTGCATGCGCACCGTGAGACGCGCGCGCGTGAGCGATATCGCTCGTGGGATTTAAAAAAAATATATTTCGCGGATTTGTGCGCGTGTACTTTGAGCTTCTATTGCGCCGCACTTCGCCAACAGTGCTAATCGGAGGCGCGGCTTGTACTCGGCTGGCATGTAATGATGCGTTGAATCATCATCATCGCCGTCGTCGTCAGCAGCCATGTTCAATCCACTGCTGGATTGAAGGCTTACCTCTCCCCCCCCCCCCAAGCCATAACCCATCTGTGATGTAACAATCCGCCGAATGCCTACACAATAAATTATTTTTCATCGCTCAGTCTCCTCGGTTGACGTCCTCTCGGACGGATTGAATTATAGATTTAAATTGATTATCATGCTCACAACTTAGACGTGTTTAATCATAGGAGGATGGCAAATCTGTTGCTGTTGCTATTATTATTCATCGGGGTGCACCAAATATTAACATCACCTTCCAATTCGGCTGAAAATCAGACGACAGAGCATTGAGCATCGTGGGCGGCTGTAGTGTCATGACTTCGACTGCCCAAGGTGATTCAGAATCA